GGTTTTAGTATAATGCGGCATTCGCAGCATACCCTCACTGGCGCCGAGCCGTTGAAGACATTTTGGCAAATAAACGTGCAAGAAATAGTTCCGATACTAGCACGTCCATATTCTTGTTAAGGGTCATCAAAAAATTCCTTATGTTGTAAATAATAAAGGGAATGCCGGATTATACTAAAGCCAGCTTCCCGACATAAACTACTATTCCATACGAACACAGAAATATAAATGTATCTAAAACTGAATAACTCAAATCAAATTGGATCGCACTTGCATAATATACCTAATATTGGAATCTGTTTTGATCGTAAAAAATACAACTTGCAATCATATAGATTATAGTTTTGAAAGAAATTGTGTAAAAATTGTTAATAGCAATCTGCCTTAAATTTATGTTCTCCATGTAACGGGTATAAAATACGTTAAATCCGCACTATCTGCATTAACAAAAAATATACATTGGAATATTTAAAATAAAACGATTCATATTTATTTTCTAATAAGAATTGTTTCTTAATTGAAAGTATTTAATACTAATATAATGTAGTGGTTAATGTTTAAAAATGAATTCGCAATATGTCCGCAGCTCAGGTTGATTTGAAGAAATCCGTTTAAATTTTTCGAATTACATCTACTTGAATATAGGATTGGCAGGGTTGCATACAAATGGTAGTTCCGTAAATATTTAAAATATGTTAGTTCATTCAATATTTACATCTGGGCCAAATATAGCCGAAAAAACAAAGTTTCGATTAAAACGAGTTTTTATAACCCCCCATAAAATTCCGATTAATTTTAAATACGAAAATAACGATATTTTTTCATGGAGAGGTATTTTTTTTAATATATCTTGTTTATACCTACACAAGAACCGTATTAGCAAAAAACCGATTGGACTCAACATATATTTCTTTACAGCATTTATACCCCTGTCTTTATAGCGCACTCGATAAAGTCTTATTCAAAAGTAAACAAAATCTGCTATTTTTAAACGACATTTTTTTAATAAATAATTTGCTCGGTTGACCGAAATGGAAACAAACAAATTCGAATTTAAAACGGGATGTATATAGAAAACCAGCCTATTGTCACTTCATTTTCCAATGGTGCTGATTGCTGCAAGAATTATTTGGCGATTTAGAGCATAATCAACACAATATATGCACATAAATATGTATTATTTCACAGATCTCAGGGTCAGCTTAGAAATACGTCACCAAAATTATATAAAATTTAAGTAGGAATTATTTTTATTTATAACGTAAAAGCGCTATCTGACCCAATCTGATAAGTATATTTCCCCTAAAGTTAACCCATTTTATTTAATTTGTCTCTCGTGAAAATATATATTGAATAACTCAGTGAGAGGGGAGACCAGTATGTTTGCATGTATGTATATAAAAAATATTTATTGGACCAAAAAGTAGTGGGTAGGCACTGTGGCCAATGGTAATCAACTATTACCACCTCCGCATGGTTGTAAGCCATGCAGAGTCCGCAGAAGACTCCGGAAGCAGTGTCCGGAGGATGCATCAGACTAGGCCGAGCATACTTTGAGTGCCATCTAATTAGAACTTAAGAAAGTTCAATTACATGGCAGTTGAGAAGTGCATGTGCAAAAATTTCCTAAATTGCATAAACGAAATTTTTGCACATGCAGCAGTACATAGCATGTATTTAGGCGCCTGGTGTTAGCAGACGCGCCTAAACATACCGGCCCCCCTAGACGATTTGGTCGTCTAGTGAATATGACATATACTAGGTTCACATATAAGTAGATTATCCTAATTTTAGAGCTTAACACCCTAATCTGTAATTATAACAAGAGATTAGCCATATAAAATTCGTCCCTTGTTAATCTGTAATTATAAAATAATCTCGGATTTAACCGATAACTTTTCGGTGTCCATCCTAGTTTTATCGATTGTTTTTGCGAAAGAGAGGAGAAATGCCAAATGTAAAAGTAAACAAAAATGTACGCTAGCAAGTAAAAGAGGTTTGTAAAGGTATTTTTAATAAAATGTTAAGTTAAAATATATTTATATTGCTTATTATAGCAGAAAAACGTGATCACGGGGGCACAGAGAAGAAACATAACTTTTCCTTGAGATGTGAGAATAACAAGCACAACAAATTTGGCGGCTAATAATCTGAGATTTGCCTGTGTAAACGGGGTGATTAAAAAATGAGCTTTGATTAAGATAATATTGATATGTGAACATAGTTATAGCCGCAAAGATCCGGCTCGAAGGAACATGAATAACCCTGGCGACTTAATGGGTATAGACTCGATAAGTGCACCAGTGTTTTTTATTGGAAAAATAAGAAAACAAAAGCACCAGGTTTTAGTTTGAAATACAATTAAGTTTGACGGTTTATTTAATAGGTATATTAAAATTCAAGGGGGCTTACAATATTACCTTGATTATGAAGTGGTGTGGTGGCGGAACGTCCGTAATCGCTGGTGATTGAAATCCAATAGAAAGTATAAAAAGTTAGAAACTGAAGTCAAACCCTCTAAACGGTTTGAAGAGTTCCGTTTTCAGGGGAAATTTAACGAAGGTGCACTGACAGGAAAAGTGCAGTTTTTCTTTTTGTCTTGTTTCACATACGAATGTGTATGTGTGTGCATCTGTTAAATTAACATTAGGGTGGTACACCCGATAATTTACTTTAAGTATTTGATTTAGCGTGGAGGCCTAAACATATATTTTATTTAAAATTTTCAGATATGTACATATATTTTAAATATTTGCTTTAATTTTTGTATCCTTTTAATATTTAATTAGATACCTTAAGATTAAAATAAGCTTAAAATGAAACAGCACAGCAACCCTTTTCTGTTCATCTTGAGAACACAAAACCCTCTTTTGTTAAAATTCGGCGCTGCACAAAATCCTGGCTTTTATATTTTCCAATAAAATACCACTTCGCAACCCTGGATTTTCACGAAGCGTTTCATTCGGGTCGTAGTTTCGCAACTTCGGGCCATTCGGTGTTGTATGCCATATTGGCTGCCATATTGTTCACACTGTCATCGCCATATTGAACACCCTGTCAACTATCTGTCAACCCTAAGATATCTCACTTGTATTCTTCCACAATGGTTCTCGCTATCAAATATCGAATGAATTTTTATTCCGCTAATTATTTACAAAACGGTATCCTGGGCGATCATGCCTTAAGGGCTAGACCCATAACTCTGTCACTAATGGTATAGACACAAATCACCTTATGCCTAGTTTACAATAACTTAACTTAAAGCTTAGGGCGGGTATACTAAGTACACACTCTTACAACATTTTATTGGAAAATTCAAAAATTATTTTTACATACTTGAGTGGGTGGGATCGCAAAGCATACTTTGCTTAGCTCATAGAGCTCTGGATCACTTAACTGCCTCTCTTTCCAGATGTTTAAAACATTAATATTAGCTTTCATGTAAGGTAGCTTCAATGTTTCTATTTTCGTATAAACATCTGCTGCTTCATTTATAGGTGCTATCGCAGAGGATAAATAGTTGTCTAAAATTTCAAAGTAATTTCTTCCGATTCTACATAAAAATAACTAACTTTTCACATTTTAAAAATAATTATAGCTCTCCACCATTTTTGGGCAGGGCCGCATGCGTTTTCACGTGGAATCATCCATAAAAATCCTATGTACTTGTATATTGCATATCTATGTACATTACGGCGGGTCAATTTGTATGGGAGGTTTTTTCCACTATGCGCGTATAGCACAGGAGCATTCTACGTGTAGTTCTAAGCAAATTTGCCGAAGAAACCATGGCAAACCCCCCTCGTCTGTAAAATTAAAGTAATTTCCAATAATAAAATTATGCTTCTGCGGCGGCATGTTTTCTTTTTAGTAGATCAATAACGACTGTACAAAAGCAAACGAAAAACCAGTTGAGCATTTGTAGCAGCTGTGAGAGCAATTCAACGACTCCCGTAGCGATAGCAATAGCAGTAGCAAAAATTTCGATTTGCTATGCTGCAAACCGCTATCACAGCTTTTCATTTGCTACGACTCCAAACAGCACATTGTTCGTTTTTTTGCTCTATTCATCTGCGTAGTAGTACAACCAAACCCAGTCGGGAGCCGAGAAATACAAATTTTCTTCGGGTTTTGTGCTACTTGTTTTCCTAATGGTTTTTTTAAACCAAGACCGATAGCAAGAGCAAACATAAAAACTGGCAAATAGCGAAGCATTTTCAAACGCTGATTTTAAGTTGGTACTTAAATTTAAGTTGCAACTTTGTTAGTTTCGACTAAGTTGCTGGACTATGAATACGCGCCATTTAAATTAAAAAATTAAAGTTCGGGAATAAAATTGTCAATGAATCGGGTTTCGATACAAATACTCCGAAATACCTCAGTACTTGGTTCAAAGCTTTCGATACCAAAATTACTTGCTGAAGGACGAAAGGTATCGAGTATGTACTTGTATTTACTAGTACCATTGTATCCCTAGGGTTCGAAATTTCAGACTTTGGTATCGATACTGAGTACTCATTCTGGCATCGAGCTCATGGTATCGATACTCTAAAAGTATCAGGGAAAAAGTATCGATACTACTCAGTATCGGACTCAGTAAAATACGTATTTGGGATACTAAAATTATTTTATTCTTGAATCTTATATCTAGTTATTTCCTGAAATTAAAACAATAGAAATTTAAAATATTTGATTTTTATTTCACTGCAAAACATACTTTCTCGTTAGAACTAATTTTAACGTTAAATGTACATACATACATACACACATATATATATATATTTATATATATATATATATACTTTCGTCTAGTTCAGGCAATCGCCGTGTTAAGACGTGTTGTGTAATCAGTGAATTGCTTAGTGAACGAACAAGTTCTTGTCTCTTGCCTATTGGTGCTTAGTGCTTGTGTTACTACACAATAGTATACAGTTATCACATAAAGTGTATAAGAGCATAAAGTACAAACTTAAACAGGGCAGTAGTTACCCTTCGCAATAATGAACGGGGCTGACCCCCCCGATAGCAACAGGTTTCGCTTGCTCGATCCTGACTTATCGCTACCCAAAAAACGCATTAAAGTCAATGATTTTGTTCCTCTCCCGGAGATAAAACAAAACGATGACCATATTCCTCGTTTTCTAATCGCCCGTGCTACGGGACCTACCATCGAAGAAAAAATCCGCCCCTTATCTTCATATAACGTCTTTCAAATTGAAAGAGGCCTAAAACACATATGCGCTGACAGCATTGTAGTTACTGAACTGAGGTCCGGTGACCTGTTGATCAAAACCACAAATGCAAAAGCAGCCGACCGTTTCATGAAAGCCACTCACATAGGTATAATACCTGTGAAAATAACGTCACACAAGGGCCTTAATACTATTCAAGGACGCATTTATTCGAAAAATCTGATCGATATTTCCGAGAAAGAACTGACAGAAGAACTATCCAGTCAAAAGGTTGTCGAAGTAAGGAAAGTAATGCGTAAATCAGGCGACCGTTTAGTTCCAACAGGCGCTGCTATCTTAACATTCGACCTAATTCGCAGACCAGACATCATAAAACTCGGTTGGGAGAGAGTCCGTGTCCAGGAATACATCCCGAATCCCATGAGATGTCGCAATTGTCAACGTCTCGGTCACACAAAGAATAGATGCCGGAACACAGAACTCTGCAAAGAATGTGCCAATACAACACCACATGAAACATGTCAGAGGACTTTCTGCATTAACTGTGAAAATGAAGCTCACCCTTCATACGATCCTAGCTGTCCTACATTCCTGAAGCATAAATCAGTCAATAAAATAAAAATCGACCGTCGATGCACAATTAGAGATGCGTGGAAAATTTTCAATAGCAACCCAGCAGCATTTCAAATCCAACCCTTCAAAAAGAATATTAATACGCCGTCCATGGCACAGATCGTTAAAAACAATAAGCCCGCTACAAATGAAATAGATAGGAATAACAAAGAAGATAATAATGCACAGAATTCAACAACAAAGAAACCCAACAAATATCAAGAAAAATACATAAGCAACGGAACATCTAACAAACAAAAGCAGAATACGTACACCAGCAACAAGGAGTTTTTGCAGAAAAATGTAGAAGAAACCACACCAAAAAGAAAACAACCATCAAAACCAACTAACACAGACACAACTATTCAAGCATCAACTTCTAATAGCACTACTACAACCAATGGCACGCCAACAGGCAATTTTACCCACTCAACAACAAATGAAACAGAAACATCACCTTACAGCCAATTATACAAAAAATTTCCTGACCTTAATGTCCTGATCACCCCAAAAACATTCACACATACTTGTCCCCAACGCAACATACCCAGCGAACCAGAGGAAACCGATATTACAGACTACGACTTACACCTGTCATAAAGCCACAATCGATTTATTTTTTAAATTACAATAACTAACCTATGGATCTTGGTATCAACATTACAATATTACAATGGAACATACAAGGGTTCTTAAATAATAAATTCGGTTTAGAATTACTTGTATCCAAACACAACCCAGATGTTATTCTTTTACAAGAAACCCACTTAATCGAAAAAAAAACAAACACTTGCTACACCTGCCACACTACAAAGCATACCACTTCAACAAAGACTACTCCTATTCTAAAGCGGGAATTGCAATCCTCATAAAACAAAATATAAACACATCCAACCATAAAGTATCAACCAACAACTTACTTTTCCAATCAATCACTATACACGCATTGAAAGACCTGCACGTAACTAATATTTATCGCGAAACTGACCTTTTCTTAACTACTCAGCATTTAGACGACATACATTCCTACCATGATGGATACCACATTTTGGGCGGCGACTTAAATGCACATAATACCCTGTGGGGATCAAAGAAAACAACGCAAAATGGAAAAAATGTGGGAAGACTTCTCTAACGATAAACAGCTAGTGGTACTAAATGACGGTTCCCCAACACTGCACAATACAAGGAACTCATTAACGAACGTAGACGTCTCATTTGCTTGCGGAGGGATAGCCTCGGTCCTGAACTGGTTATGCCTTCCACCATCAGGCTCCAGCGACCACTTCCCGATACTTATTTTCAATAACACACAAAACAAGGTCAGCAGAATTATCCCTATGTTCAACACTAACAAAGCCAAGTGGCCACTGTTTGAAAATAAAACTAACATCTACTCACAAATGTTTTCTGTTCTGAGTCAAGCAATGTCAACAGAGAAGCGGCACAGATAAAAAAAGCGTTGAGAAAAGCTGCAAACGAAGCCATGCCTACTACTTACTCTACTCACAATCGAAATAACCCAGTTTGGTTCAACTCGCGAATTGCGAATTTAATCAAGGTAAAAAACATTGCTTGGAAAAACTTGAAAAACTCCCAAACAACCAATAACAGCTTAGAGTTTCGCAAGGCTAGTGCAGTAGTACGTAGAGCATGCAAGCAAGCCAAACAAGAGACGTGGAATAAGTTCCTAAACTCACTCAATCCAACACTCGACACAAAACATCTTTGGCAAAAAATTAAAAAAATCAAATGTCAACGTTTTTCCAACTTTCCACAAATACTTACTAACAACTCCGTTCTTAAGCATCCAGAGCAAATAGCTGAAGCCCTAGGGGCGCATTGGAGCGCATCAAGCGCAAACGACGCGTTTGACACAACTATAGTCAGCAACAAATGCTCTTTTAACATAGATGCTTTACCACGCATCTGTCCTTCTACGCAAACGTGCCATAAAATAACACTCGGAGAACTGGAGGCAAGTCTTAAAACAACTAAGGGCAGCTCCCCCAGCCATGACAAAATAACATACACAATGGTAAAAAATGCGTCTACAGCACTTAAGTCTCGAATATGCAGACTTTTCAATCGAATTATCGAAACAGCAATCTACCCACATGAATGGAAGCACGCAATTCTTACACCTGTGCCGAAACCTGGGAAAAGTCCCAATTCGGTTGAGGGGTACCGTCCTATCTCGCTACTATCCACGTTGGCAAAAATATTCGACAAAATCTTAGCCAACAGAATATGGACCGACTTCGGTAACAAACTAGAAGCCGAACAACACGCATTTTTCCCCAAACATGGAGTACACACCCTTATTCACACTCTCGAAAATCAGTTGAAACGTTCAAGTGGAGAACACACCGTCGTTCTGTCTGAAGACCTGGCAAAGGCGTATGATAGAGTAATAGCTACTGAAGTAATTAAAGAAATGCACAAGTGCGGTATTCCGACGAATATCCTCAAACTCTCTTTATCCTTCTTATCGTTCAGAAGGATTACAGTCAGAGTTGACGGATTCCTTTCGAAGGTAAAAAAGTTAGAAAACGGAGTCCCACAGGGATCCCCGCTTTCAGTAGTACTCTACACGTTCTATGCCAATTCTCTAATAAAAAAGATAAAAGACGTCGAAGGGATTTCCTACATGGGTGTATACGCAGACAATATTTTCGCAGCAGCTTCCGGAACGCACGAAACAGTCACGCAATGTCTACAAAACCTAGATGAAACAATAAACAAATGGGCTAACTCAACCGGAGCCGCAGTCCCCATAGAAGTAGCAACGGCCCTCCATGTATGCCGTAAAAACAATTGCGGTGCTAACTCGGTACACATTCGGGAACGAACAATTCCTTTGAAAAATAATATGCGCATACTTGGTGTACATTTCTCTAAAAACATGTTATGGAACAACCACGTTAACGTGCTGAAAGACAAACTGAAAAAAAGTCAACAACATGCTCAAAGTCATTTGTTCTAAAAGAAAAGGTCCGCACATAGAAACTGCCATTGCCATCTGTCGCACACTCACCGAAGGCGTACTACAACACTGTATAACGCTCTACGGCTGGACATCCAAAAGAAACATCAAAGCCCTCAACACCGAAATCTACAATTGCTACAGAACAGCCACCGGCTTACTGAAAGCAACTCCCATACCTGCTCTAAAAATAGAAGCGCGAATTCGAGATTTTGAAAATTTACGGTTCAAAAGTTCATCCAAACTAGCGGCTAAGTCCATCACGGATAACAAACATCCCCTTCACAACATGGTATGGAACCTCATCGACACAACAGAACGTAGGAGGGCACCCGCCCACAAAACGAGCAGTTTAAAAAGAATAATCACGATGTTACATGACACACATATACCTATTCCAAGCAAACCGCCACTGAGCAAGGAAAACATAACTAATCTTATCACAGTAGACACATCACTTAACACAACCAAAAAGAAATCAACTTGTCAACAAGCATACATACAAGGATTGTTGGAAATCACCAACGAGACAGACCCCCAACTTCTCCTTTTCACAGACGGATCGGTAAATTTTAGCACACCCTCATACGCTGTAGTGTCGCAAACAGCAGGCAATCAATTTGCAGTTATCCATCAAGCTCTGTTACCAATGCACACAGGTATTTTTTGCGCCGAACTAACAGCGATCAAGAAAGCAATATCACTTGCTGCACAACTAAAAAAGAAAACCCTTATTTGCTCAGACAGTCTCAGTGCCCTTAATGCAATATCAGATGAACGTAATGAAGCTCACCTCTTTGTGTCAGATGCCAGTCTACAGCAACCTATTAGACTTCTATGGGTACCCGGGCACACCGGAATAGAAGGCAATGTAAGGGCGGATCAAGCGGCCAAAGAATGCTTTTCGCTACCTCTAATAACAGAAGTCCCAATCCACTCAAGTGTCATAACAAGAACGACAAAAGCGGTGCAGGTGGAAGCCGAACTGAAAATCGCAGCCGACCTCAGAACCTTCCTACACAGGCATAATTTCGATATCCCTAGACATAATTACGACACACAACTCACTCGTAATCAATGCATTAAGTTAGCCAGGCTTCGGACAGGCACTACACTCTTTAACACATCACACCTTTTCACAAAAACACACCCACGAGCATGTTCTTTTTGTGCAACATCCCTCACAATAGAGCATGTATTAACAACCTGCCCTCACTCGTTATTAAAAAAAAGCATCAAGGAAATACTGAATTGCAGGAACAGCAACATTAAAGAAATAGAGGAAGCACTCCGTATACACCACCTCAATGAAGAAACTTAATACAATACACATATGTATTCTAAGGCACTCAATGACCTAGACGTCCGGTGCCTATATCATATTTTGCAAATTCATTTGCAATCTATGCTAAATAAATAAATAAATAAATAAATATATATACTTTCACGAATTTAAAATTTTATTGAAAAAATTTTGTAAATTTTTTGGGTTGCATTTTTGTATCCTATTCAATTTTAGTATAATAATGTGGAAGTTTGAATTTAAAGTCAACGGTAGAAGTCTACACGTAAACTTGAATAGGTTACAAAACTGCATACCCAAAAAGTTTCTAAAAATTCTGCATTTTCGTGAACTTTGCGTAAAGTTTTATGGCCTTATTCATAAAAAATAAGAAAGGTATATAAACTGAAAAATGTATGAAAATGTCATTTTACTAAGCTCTTTAAACCTACTTTATTTTTTATGAATAAGGCCATTAAACTTTTACTTATTTGGTTTATGTTATGCAACAGGCTACACGCAATTTCAGTTTATTTTAAGTGATTGACAAAATTGAATGCTAGTAATCCATATAAGCAAAGAAAATTAGTTTGGTAATGGAAGAAAAAATTTAAAAAGTGTGTTTTTAATAAGTATTCGATACTACGAGTACTTTGCAAAGTATCGAGTAAAATCACCAAATAAGTTATAGAGTACTAAAGTACTCATTTTTATACCCTCAGTATCGATACTTACTCAATATCGATAGTATCGTTCGAACCCTATGTATCCCTGAAAATTCCTAATTTCAGCTGTTTTGGCCACCGACTGGCGTTATGAAACCACATTTCGCCTAATGAAAATGATTTAAGTAATTTGTATTAGTTGATTCGCTAACAGGCTTGTTTTTATGGCGAAATATGTCAGCTCAATATCAACGATTCTTAAAAGCTCTTGAAAGGTGGCCGACAGACAAAACAAAAGTTGGCAGGTATGCTATCACGTTTACGTTCTTTGTTTTCACTGTACATACCATCGCTTTATCAATTTGTTATCTAACGTACTCCTGTTTGCATTTTATTTATGGAAATAATTTTGTGATTACCCAAGGTACTTATACTTCGTCAATGGTAGAAAAGAGCAGCTTAAGTGTAGCCGGTCCCTATTAAGTGCATACATTGATATATTTATGTACAAACAAATGTAAAAAATTTAAGTGGAAGCTTATCACGTCTATGACTGCTTACATGCCGAAACTCAATCTTTAAAAGCTGTTAAAACTAACGTTGTGAGGTTGAAACTATAGTCAGTATAGTTTGTTTCTTGGCCTCATTAAACCAAAAGTTTATAAATCGCATTCAAGTGTTCCAATTCAATCAAAAATGACCTCCAAATACGCATATCAAAGAATTCCCGAAGAATACATCCTTGGAGTACCTGTTTTCGAGTAAGATATCTGTTGAAACAAAAAACAAAAATAATACTAAACAACTGTTCGAGCTGAGTGATTCGGCGTACAGAGAAGTATCCCTGGTGAAACTTTCCTATAAGGGTGGTCGTTGAAGCGGCGGTGGGCGAAGGTGGGCTTGGCACCTCCAGCCCCTCTTTTTGGAGAAGGCATGAACCGCTAAAAATCACAACTTTCACTTGCTTCCACAGTATTTTTGCGTAGAATTCCATTCTACGTGGGCGGCCTTAGGGATTTTAACCCTTATTACGTAGAATTCTGGCTTCTTTGTTGCCGAAGAAGAAAAGAGATAGGCCTTCTTTTGTCAAAAGTGTATAACATTTCTTGTGCATATAACCCCGGCACTGGTATCCACAGTATTTTTGCAATTACATTACTCCTTTCTGCGTAGGCGGCCTTGGTCGCGCTTTGGGATTATGACCCTTACTAAGTAAAATGCTCCTTACAGTGTTGCCGGATAAGAGGGACAGGCACCTCTTCTGTTGTCAAGGGTATATAAAATTTCTTGTGCAAATGAATATTCAACCTTTTTCAAGCGAAAAACGCAAGTGAAAATTGTGATTTTCGGCCATTTTTCTAAAGTTTCCTTGGGGGGCCTAGGTGGTCGGGGTGACATTTTTGACAATGGCAGTTCATGCCCTCCAAAAAGGGTGGTTGGAGATGCCACGCCCACTCCCCCTTCGCCCACCCAGCAACATTGACAGAACGTCTTACTAATTCTTGCGCCGGAACCAGGCCGCTGCATTGAGAGAATCGATACCTAAACTTATTTTCGCTAACGAACATAAATAATTTCCGTAATTTTGAACGGTGTCTTTAAACCCTCTGATATCAGTTAAAATATATGTACATACTCAAAATAGACCAAATACCGCATATTCTTTCTATGAATTTTTTAGCACAAATTCTGCATATCTGTTCATATTTGGGAATAACAGCAATGAAAATTGAAACAGTGGTGCCGATATTCACAAAATAAAACTAGATTTTTTTACTTTTATGTTGGACACATTCTTATTTCTATAGAACACTTAGAATATTGCAATTACATAGTTCATTTCATTTATATTTACATTTTGTCCGGTTTAATGATGTCCTTTCTAACTTGCACTTGCCAAATTTTAATAGGGATTTGGGGGAGCGGATACGAAAACAAGTAATACATCTCGCGAATCCTATAAGCCTTACCACTGAAGTCCACGAAAAACTAAGTGCGGAAATTGATTCACTGGAAAGATTAACTTGTAACGTTTATGGAAAGAAATACCAGCGGAGGTATACTTCAACAGCCACGGGATTGACTTCTGAACAGTGCAATCAAGTGTTGTCGTCGGAGTTCTTACAGTACCTTAATGATGAGAATACATGTAGTCCAAAAGGGTGAAAGTGACTGAAAAAAATTGTATTAGCAAAAACTGTAATAAGATTAAAAAAAAAAAATGCTTCGACGAATTAATCAGATTGTAACTTCTTTGAGGTCAAACTTCAGTACCGTTTCGAAAATCTGCGAAAAACATTTAGTTAAGCATGTTCCTGTACTTTGTGAACAAGCTATTCTTTATCTTGATCCAGCTCCACACAAAATTTTCATCGACATGACATTTGGTGCTGGGGGCCACACTAGACAGTTATTACAAAAATATGATGATATAAAGGTTTTTGCGCTAGACTGGGATCCCATAGCCTTTGAGCTAGCTCAATGTTTGAGTGAAGAATTTCCAAATAGGCTCACACCACTTCTAGGCAAATTCTCTGAATTGCCAAAGTTATTGAAGGAACATAATTTAAAAAAATACTCCATCGACGGATTCCTATTTGATTTTGGATGCTCCTCGATGCAATTTGATGAAGCTGCTCGCGGATTCTCCATTTCTAAAAACGGCCCCTTGGATATGAGAATGGACCGGGGACGATGCAATGAACAAATCACAGCTGCAGATGTTCTCGCCCGTGCGGAGGAAGCAGACTTGGTAAAAATTTTAAGAGTCTATGGCGAAGAGAAGAGCGCGAAAAAAATAGCTAGGGCGATAGTAGAGGCACGTTCTGCGTTTTATAAGATTGAAACCACCAAACAGCTGGCGGATTTGGTGAGCTCGTGTCTTCAGAATGCATACCGGCTGGACAAAATACAGCGACCTACGCATGTAGCTACCAAAACATTTCAGGCGCTGCGCATATTTGTTAACAACGAATTGAATGAGATCAATTATGGAATGATTTTAGCCAAGGAATATTTGCGCTACGGGGGCCGATTAGTCGCTATAACATTTCACTCTTTAGAAGACACGATAGTCAAACGCCATATAAATGGAAACGTAATTGAGGGTATTGCAAACCCCGTGCCGCTGAAATATTGTGGACATGATGTTACGCACGATAAGGAACTAATTGAGACATTTGTTCGATCGAGTTGGCGACAGCTTCACAAACATGTAATTACTCCCTGTGAAGCAGAGGTTGCCCGAAACAGTCGTAGTCGTTCTGCTAAACTTCGAGCAGCAACTAAAGTAAAATAAATCCTTTTCTTTAGGTTACTGAAATATTCGTAAATTTTAAGAAGTAATTACGATTCTTGTAAACTCACAATACGATAATTGAATATTTTGTGTTTATGGATAAAGATACAATTAATTAATATAATGAGTTATTTTTAGTTATTCCTGATACTATAACTTTATAAGGTTGTTGTTGTGTTGTAGCAGCATACAAATTCCTCAACGAGTTTTTGGGGAGTGTTGCTGGAGTGACAGTCCTTGGCCAGATATAAATCTGGGTCGTTCCGGTTACTAGACCCGACAGTCGTGGGAACGAACTATTTAAGAATATGAGCGTACATAAAACTTTATAAGGTCCTTTGAATTGGTGTTTTGCCTACACGAAAAATAATCCATGGATGATATATGTAGAAAATAAAAACAGTTACATATGTACACTGTCGGCAAAAAGTATTGGCACAGCAAATTTTTCACAATATATGGAAAAATTTTTTTTTTAATATTTTTCCGCCAATTTTTTATAAAAATATGGTTCATTCTACGGCAAAAAACTAAAAAATATAATTGATTAAAAAGTTGAAAATTTGCTGAATTTCCGTGAGTTTTGCTCAAAGTTTAGGAATTATATTTTTATGTTTTTTGTTGTAGGAAGAATCAGATTTTTATATATTGTGAAAAATTTGCTGTGCCAATACTTTTTGCCGGCAATGAATATATAAATTTTTGCCACTAATCTGGATGTCTTAAGTAATTTTGTTTACATACAAAGCATAAAACAGAAAACATGAAAAACAATATAAATTAAAAGTTTGTCTAAAGCATTTTGCTAAGCAAACATACATAAGCAAATGAGAATAAGCTTTCTTCCGATACATTTGCTGTTCTAATAAGTTATTTTAATTTTAAAAACCACCAAGTTTATTTATTTTCATAAATTGCAAACAGGCTTTGATCAGCTGTTTTTTATGCTGGAAACTGCTGCTGGCAAAAATTTTTTCAGCAGAAACTAGTACCTTCTCAGCAGAATGAAATATCAATTTGGTATCTCAATTTCCCCTTCTGGATTTTTGTGTACGCGAACAGCAAAACTTATTTAAGGTGGTGTTACTAGATCAGCTGATATTGTATATGTGTTTCGCCTCACAGCTTCTTGTGTCAAATTGAAAAATTCTTATGGCCTTATTCATAAAAAATAAAGTAGCTTTATAAAAGGTTTATGAATTGAAAAATGTATGAAAACGTCACTTTATAAAGCTCTTTAAACCTACTTTATTTTTTATGAATAAGGGGCTTAGTCTGTTCCAATAGCAGTCCGGCTTACAGGATTTAGTGAGACCTTACATGAAGTCGTTCCTATAGGTATCGGCTAGAATCGCCACAAAATTTAGCATCGGCATCGGCTTTTTTCGCCGAGTCTTTAGAATTTCTTTTCACATGTTCAGGTGAAGCGACAGACAACAGCCAACATCAAAAAGCATTAGCAGACAGCTCACAAAAATTTCCATACAAAAGTATGTTCGACCATTTTCTTTTATATGGAGGACACTGCCAGCAACAAAAAAAAAATACAAAAATTTACGGGATTTTATAGAAGCTTGAAACTTGCACTTCATAATACTAGAATTAAATAGTCTACAAAACAGCATACCAAAATTTTGATTAAAAAGTTTGAAGATTTGGTGAAAATAAGCAATTTTTGCACAAAGTTTGAAATCTGAATTTATATGTATTTTGTTGTATACCAGCTAGACTTTTATAAAAAAAATAATAAGCATTAAATAAACAAAAGACAAATGCCAAATGCCGAAACCGGTTAAAATATCGGAATTATTTTAGTTTGTGGACCACTATATGTATGTAGATACATACCTAGCATATAAGTTCTTATGCATTGAGTGCAAAAGAGTGTATTTTAGTGCAAAACGAAATGAAATTTTATGTTCCTAAATATTTCTTGCTTAGCACCATATAAAAGTGTTTTATGTAATGTACATAAATGTGATATACATATGTACATATATATTTACATATACATACAGTGACGAGCAAAACTGTAACATGGTTTAACACTTTTTGTTTCAGCCACCGCTATATTTCCAAGTTCTAACGGCTTTCATCCTTTTGTTGAATATTCTTGTTGGTACACCCCTACTCCCTCTCTCATAATGATTTGAAGTCAATACAACAACAATAAAAAAACCAGCAGACAAAAATGTAAATTAAGGCAGATGTTACAATTTTGCACTCACTCTCAGTTTTGCATTTGACAGTTATCTTTTACTTAGTTGGAAGTCAGATGACTTTTTTCTATATTGTATTTTATTGAAGAAGTGATCACCAGTAAATAACATAGTTAATCAGGAACCATAAATGTAAATAATAGATTTACTGCGGAAAGGCGGAACCGCACGAAATGTGGCAAAAAATTTTGGAATTTGCTACTTAAAAATGTTAAGACTTAGAAAAAATATAGCCTAAAGTGTTCCCAAGGACAAAGGAAGTCAGCTACTATTACAGAACCGCTTAAGGTATTAAACTTTAATGCAAATCAATAGACAGCGAGGCGAAGAATTGCCAAATTGAGCGCAAAGGCATCATAAAGAAGAGAAAAGCAAATTTGATCATAATACATGTGCGAGTGTGGCAGCATTTCGCTGCATCGCACGAAAACCGAACCCTTGCATATTGGGATATGTTAGGCCGTTCAGAATGCAATAAAAAACATATTTTTGAGTTTCAATTGAAGGTTATTTGGTCTGACAAGACTAAATTAATCGCTTTCAATCAGATGGCCGGGCATGGTATTGGATCAAAGACCCAAATTAAGCCTAAGCGCATCATGTACTGCAAACTGGGAATCACAGTGGTAGGATCTTAATTGTTTGGGGTTGTATTTCAAAAACTTTGTTGTTAGTTAGTACGCATTATGCGTAAGGAACAGTATCTGTTCATATTTCAACAAAATTTGCAAGATGTAGTCGAAAAATGAGAGTTTCTGCTGAAAAATCACCCAAAACATACTGCATATGTTCGCAAAGACTGGATACAAAAGCAAAAATTTGCTAATTTGAAATGACCTCCACAAACCGCGGACATGAATCTCATCGAATTTGCGAAATCAACTAAAAGCACAGCTTAATAAGTATCAAAGTCCGTAAAATCGAGTACATGAGCTGTGAAAGCAAACTAAGGATATACCTCCAGAATTTTTACAAAGATACAAATAAGGTATGCCAAATCACATCCAGGAACTGAAACAGGCAAAAGAGTACTGAACATAGTGTTAGTAGTTCTTTTTTTTCGTGAAAATGGTTAAAAAGCTCTTAAAAATATATGAGTGGATAACTGTAACATCTGCCTTAATTTACATTATTGTCTGCTGGTTTTTTTTATTGTTGTTGTATTGACTTCAAATCATTATGAGAGAGGGAGTAGGGATGTCCCAACAAGAATATACAGCAAAAGTATGAAAGTCGTTAGAACTTGGAAATATAGCGGTAGCTGAAACAAAAAAGTGTTTAACCATGTTACAGTTTTGCTCGTCACTGTATGTATGTTCATACATATTTGTTTCCTTTTGCTTCGTTAACTCCGTTAAATTAACTGATTTTATGAATTAATACATTTATTTATAATTTTTTATGGAATCGGCATCGGCCGATTCTTTCCTAATAAGCCAATTAATCGGCATCGGCAGCGGTACCTGAAAAGAAATTGGAATCGGTTGGACTCTAATAAAACCTGTAAGAGACTAACTGAGCAACTGTTCTTAGTCAGAAGTTACAGGATTTAGTCCGGAGTTTTTCTTCCTGTAAGTTCATGAAAAGTGTCAAACGATGGGCAGGGTTGCATTTGTAAACAAAAAACAGAACGCCATGAAAGCAAAGAGCCTTACATTTGTTAAAAAATGGAAGTAAACCACGGAATATTAGAATATGTACGTAATTATTCTTAATCGTATAGATTTTAATCATTATTTAGTGATCTTTCAGCCAAATCATAGTTGTACCAACGGCATGTAAACTAACCGACTGACGTTTTTGCAGGAAATAGTGCTTTTCGCGTTCCCGTACACTTCTTCATCTGTTCTCGTTTTACTCTCACTGTAAATTGTAGTTTGATAGTTCACGAGTAAAATTGTAGTTTCATAGTTCCACAGATTTTAGTCCGAAGTTCAAAGGAACAGACTATTTGTTTGCATTTTCACACACACCCTGGGGCTACAACCCCAGGATTTTCCTGCTAGACGCTTACACACCATTAACGCTTTCGTGGCCTTGGAGGTGATCGCGTCCACATGCTTCTTCCATAGAAGTTTGGTGTCTAGGATTATTCCCAGATACTTCACTTCGCTGGCGACGCCGACCACGACCCCCTCCAGGGTTATGTCCCTCATGCCCAACAGGTCTCTTTTTCCTGGTAAATGGGATGATGGCCGCTTTGGCCGGGTTGATGCTAAGTCCTAACTTAGCACACCATATTTTTATTAATCTTAAGCCTCTTTGAATAATGTCGCAGAGGGTGCTCTCAAACTCCCCCCTGGCAATGATCACAATGTCATCCACATAGCCTTGGCAGCGGATATCATTGTCGGAGAGAAGCTGAAGCTGATCTACCACTAAGCTCTACAGAAGAGGGGATAGAACCCTTCCCTGTGGGCAGCCCTTTGTTGTTAATAGCTGTAACACGCTGTCCCGCACCTTGGTTTCAGCAATCCTAGTATGCAACAGCGTATCCACCCAGTTGCAGATCACTGGCTGCACGTTTCTCTTCTCTAGTGCCCTGCGCACACCAGTGTGAGACGTTTTGTCGAACGCTCCTTCTATATCGAGGAAATTGCAAAGCACTGCTTCTCCGCATTCAAAAGCCCCCTGAATTTCGGTTGTCAGTTGATACAGGGCTGTGTCCGTAGACCTTCCAGCTCTGTATGTATGCTGACAAGCGTGTAGGGGTTTACCTTCAGAATGCTAGATCTTATGTAATTGTCCACCATCTTCTCCATTGCTTTTAGCACAAAGGAGGTGAGGCTTATAGGTCTGAAAAATTTTGCTAGCGAGTAGTCCCTATTGCCCACCTTCGGGATTAAGATTACT